TCTACTCTGTCCTATAGGTCTGCTACGAGTTGGAATCAACCCTGATTGGCCTGAAATGTGCTTTGGCCATACAGCATAGCTCTTTCCCAACCTATAGCAAGCTCAAGGGGACCTGAAGCTTCTACTTTCAGACCAGGAGCCCCTGAGACACCGGACACTGAGGAAATGGAGAACGAGGGACCACATGGAACACTGCTAATTGATTTGTGTCACCCCAAAGATATGTTGAAGTCCTTGCCCCTGTTCAGTAGACCTTGGAGATATTGTAGATCTGGAGGACAGGACCAAGGGAGGACACAAATTGTCCCTATCTACCCTGTAGGAGCCCTGGTGGTGCAGTGTCTTATGCGATAGGCTTGTGAGGTCAGCAGTTTGAATCCACCATCCAGTCTGTGGGAGAAAGATGTGGCTTTCTACTGCTATAATGAGTTAGTCTCAGAAACCCACAGGGACAGTTTTACCCTGTCCTACAAGGTCACCATGCGTTGACATCAACTTGATGGCAGTAAGTTCTGTCTGGTTTACCTACCCTGTGGGGTTGTGGGGTTGGTGGTGTTGGACTGATAACCCCAATATTTATTATAATACAGAAAATATTGCAATAAGTTGGGTCAAAAACATTCTTTGGTTTCCCAGTTCGATTTACACCATTCAATGGCTTTGCATACTACGTAGTCTATGAAGTGCACAATGATGTTATTGTTCCTGTTGCTAGATGCTAGTCTAGTGGGTTCTGACTCACAGCAACTCTGTGCACAATAAAATGAAACACTGACCAGTCCTGTGCCACCCTCACCATGGTGGTTATGGGTGAGGGTTCTGCTGCAGCCGTTGTATCAAATCATCTTATTAAAGGTCTTCCTCATTTTCACTGGCTTTCTACTTTATTAAGCATAGTGTCTCTCTTCAGGGACCAGTCCTTCCCAATAACTTGTCCAAAGGATGTGAGATTAAGCCTCACACTCTTCCCTTCTAAAGAGCATTTTGGCTGTATCTCTTCCAAGACAGATTTGTTTGTTTTTCCACAAAAGTCCATGGTACTTTCAATTTTCTTTGCCAGGATCATAATTCAAGTGCATTGATTCTTCTGCGGTTTTTCTTATTCAATGTCCAACTTTCACGTGCATAGGAGATGATTGAAAAGACCGTGGCTTGGGTCAGGTGCACCTCAGTCCTTAAAGTGACATCCTTGCTCTTCAACACTTTAAAGAGGTCTTGGGCAGCAGATTTACCCACTGCAATGTGTCCTTTGATTTCTTCACTAATGCTTTCGTGAGCATTGATGATGGACCCAAGTAAAATGAAATCCTTGACAACTTCAATCTGTCTACTGGTCCAATTGTACAGATATTTATTTTTATTACATTGAGTTGCAATTTATATTTTAAACTATAGTCCTTGATTTTCATCAGCAAGTGCTTGAAACCCTGCTCAATTTCAACAAGCAAGGTGGTGTCAGCCTGATGTGTACCCATTATACCACAGGGCTACCCTTATTTTCCCCCCCACGGGTTTTATATTGCAAGGCTGTAAAGTTGGAGTTCCCAAAGCCCACACCATGTTTTGAAGCTGGCAGAATGAAGCCCACCCATAGAGAGACAGGGAAGACAGACATTCGGGACATCGTTGGGTCTGTAGTTGAAGCCTCATCATCCCCGAGGCTAGCCTTACTTGCTCTTCTGGGATTTGGTAAAACAAGGCAGAGAACTCAGTGTGGATGCTGTCTGGTGCTCTACCCAGGTCCCCTTACCTGGGGGGTTCCCTCCTACCCTGCTTCCATTGGAATTCTTCCTGGAGAATTGACCTCCAAAGATGGGTGCTCTTGTGGACAGACCATAGGCAACAACTGGTGACCCTGAGTACAAAGGGCAGGGCCTTGACCGAAGAGTCTGGTTCTGTAGTATCAAGTCAGGTGCTTGTGCTCCCAGAAGTCTAGACTCATCTGGGACCATAACCCGGCTTTTCCCTCTCTCTTATCCTGTCCCACCTCACTTCTACCCTCACAGGACTCCTTGGGAGCTCAGTTGCACATGGACTTCAATTTGTAGCCAAGGCCCCAATCTAACACATTCCTTTTTGATTATGACCATTAGAAATGGGCTGTCATTTCTTGCTGGAATACTAGAGACTTAGAATAACTTCCACAGTTCACCTGAGGCCAGAGCCCAACTCTTCCAGCGCCCCCACCCTCCACCTGTACCCCAGGCCACTGCTCAAGTGAACTAGCAGCTCCAAAATCCAACGGCAAGTGAGTCTTACCACTCTTTGTACAAACTGGTCATGAACGGAGTCCTCTACGAAGAGCCGGCCAGCCGCAATGCAGTTCTCTCCTTTGTTGAAGAATACTGAGCTCATCCCCTGCAGTGCACAGGGACAGTGCTGGGTTAGGGCCCTACGTAGGCTCAGGAACCCCTTCTTCTTTTTTAAATCACTCTATTAGGGGCTCATACAACTCTTATCACAATCCATACATACATCAATTGTGTAAAGCACATTTGTACATTCATTGCCCTCATCCTTCTCAAAACATCTGCTCTCCACTTAAGCCCCCGGCATCAGCTCCTCATTTTTTCCCTTCCCTCCCCGCTCCCCGCCTCCCTCATGAACCCTTGGTAATTTATAAATTATTATTTTGTCATATCTTGCCCTGTCCGATGTCTCCCTTCACCCACTTTTCTGTTGTCCGTCCCCCAGGGAGGAGGTCACATATAGATCCTTGTAATCAAAGAACCCCTTCTTAAGGGAAAGGTGGCACCCCACAGCAAGGTCCTGCTGTCACGGAGTGTGTAGACATCACGCAGGCCCCCCTTTACCTTGAGGTGGCAGGGTACAGAGATGAGGTCAGATGCAAGATGGTAGCAGAATGTCACCGTCCATGTTACAGGGAATTGGGATTGGGAGTGAGCACACCTCAGTCAACTGAGAGCCAGGGCTGCTGCATGTGCCTTTTGCCCACTGAGTGGACACCCTGGGGCGACTCCCTTATTTGTTGGGACACTTACTCTCAGGTGGTGTGCCTGAGGGGTCAACAGAAGATCTATCACAGTGATGGGAAGAAGGAGGGGGTCAAGGCAGGAAGGACGCTTTAGTCCAGCAAGGCCTGAGGGAACCTTTCCAGGACTCAGTTCCAGTCCCGCCCAAGATCCAGTGAGCTTGGGAGTCTTTTGTGGGAAATCAATGGGGACTAGAAAGATACCCTAAGGAGAAAGGGAACACGTTTCTCTGGGTGGAGTTTACCTGCCTTGGAAATGGAGACGGTATTGCTTCCAGGCCATGGCCAAGGGCTGTGGACCAGGGGTTTCAGCCTTGGTCCTGGGTTGACATCCTAACCTTATCCTCTTGGGTCTACTCATCTCTCAAGGCTGTGTTCCTTTTTCTACACACACCAGGGTGTCCCATGGTCCTCCAAGGGAGAGTGTGACTTAGGGAAGTAAGGCATCTGGGGGCACCTGGAGGAACACAGCCTTCCTGGTTTTCTCCAATAGGAGTGGAGCAAGAGCCGAGGCAAAATAATAACTACGATGGCCAGAACACAGTCTAGCCTGTGCATGCAGGGCCTGGTACCTTCCATGTGCTTCACATAGTCACCGATTGCATCGCCATAACAACTCATGGGATCATGCCCGTATTATCCCTGCTGTGTCAGTAACAGCATGGAGGCCAGAGAAGTGCCGTGACTGGCCCCAGGCGTCCCACCTCGAAAGCAGTGAAGCTGGTCGTGCGTGCGTGCGCCACAAACCAACCCACCGGTGAGCAGACCCAGGTTGCAGAGGCTGGGGGTTGCTATTCCCACCTCTGCTCGGCATTCTCCTTTGCTTTGCTGGGACAGCGACGGTGCCCTGGCATGGGCGATCGCAGCTCCTCTCTCCTAATTCTGGGAGAGGTGGCTCATTTGGTGGCTTTTTGACTCTGTGGGAATGACTTTTAGAGGCGTGCATGCCACTCCTGGCTCCTGAGTCCTGTTCCTATCTCTGTCGGCCGTGATGACCCTCTGAGCTCCACCACAGGTTTTATGGTGGAATTGGAGAAGGATGTGCCTGGCCTCCCCTCGAGCTGCCTCCCCAGGCCCCACCTCACCATCTGCACTGCCTTGTTCAGGTCGCAGTCGGCAAAGATGATGAGGGGTGACTTTCCACCCAGCTCCAAAGAGACCTTCTTGACATTGCTCAGGGCACAGCTGGAAGGAGCAGAAGGGTTCGTGGGGTTAGAGGGAGACCAGTTCAGAAGACCTCTCGAGCCACAGTCAGGTTCAGAAGGAAGAAAGTCATATGCAAACGAGACCCCAGCCCCCTTAAGCCCCGAGTCCCCATCGCTGCTGACTTCCCTCTCCCCACCCGCTGGGTCATGCCTTCCGCATACCCAGACGTGCCTCCAGCTAAGCGCCTCACTGTAACTGTTCCCTGTCGCCTCCTGGTCCCAGTGGTTCTTCCTTCAGAAGCCCGCCCATTTCATCTCCTCTTTTCCTTCCTTCAGGCTTCTGCTCAAGGGTCACCTTCCCAGGGTGCCTGCTCTGGTCGCCCCACCTCTCTACTGCACAGCCTCTCCCATGTTCCTCAACCTGGGTGTTTTGGCTCTCTCTGCTGGACTCTCAGCTTCCAGGCAGGGATGCACTATCCCTAGTGTCCAAAGCAGTGCCCAGCATACAGTCGGTGTTCAATAAAATATGGGGGTGGGGGTAGGGAGGCAGAAAAATCAATCATCAACAATGATGAACAAGTTGGAGGTGCAGTGGCTACGGAGGTCAAAGCATCTCATTTGTAGAGAGGCAATGGGGTTCCATCCATGACGCACCAACAGGAAAAATTTTAAAAGGCACTGCTGTTCCGTTCTCAGAAGGATGCTCCAGCTTCAGGGCACCTCTAGGGAAGGGCCTCTGCTCAGAAGAAAGTCCTGGCTCCCTGATTCTGGGAAGACCAGTTGCAGAGCCTCTTAATTATCTAACTCTGTCCCCCATCTCTCCACCCCATCCCTTCCGTCTGCTTTGAAAGCTACAGAACTTGTCAAACTACATTCAGGGAGCTGACTGGAAAATTGAGGACGGGAGAGGAGGTCCCCTGTCCGGCTAGCAGCCCATCTGAGGGGCCGTTGTTGGAGCCAAGATCCCAGGAATGAGAGATGAGATCTTTGAGATTATGGACGTCCATTCAAAGGAGAAATTGGTTTTAATAATATTCTATTTCACTCAAGAATAAACATATTATCTTAGCTTGTCATGAAATAACATTACTAATGAATACTTGACTTTTCCCCTCTTCTAAATCTGGTATGTGTTGTACATTTACAGTGTCTAATGTCCTCATGCATCTCAGGGCCACACGCCGGGCAGCGCAGACCCTTGTGGGTCTCAGCGTGATCAGCAAGCAGCACAGCCCTCATTCAAGAGCTTTCCAGAAACACAACATCCCAATGACCAAACAACACACAATCTACACACGTCCAAGTTGAAGAAACTTGATCTAGATGACACTGTCTATCCACTTCCAGACATTGCCACCAATGGTGGCTGTTTCTAGGGCCAAGTGTGGCCTCTGGCCCACCCCCACCCCCACCCACCACCCAAACCCCAGGCACGTACCTTTTCATAATGTGCTTTCCCACCTCTGTGGAGCCCGTGAACCCGATTTTCCGCACATCGGGATGGTCTGAGAGTCTCTGGCCCACCAGCGTGCCTGTGGAATGGAAGAGTGAGTGGCAGAGCCAGGGTGGCCCTCATGGTGCCGGGTGGAAAAGATGTGGCAGTACCCGCTGCATGCCCACTCAGAGGGCCACACTCTGCTGTCCTTGCTGCAGGGGTCCTTGCTGCAGGGGTCTCCTGCCGCCAGAGCATGTGGCTCACTGTTCCCCATGTGACTTCCCGTTTTCCAGGGTCCTTTCACTCTCCCCAGGTCCCCAGCAGAGACACAGAAATGCCTGACCAGGCCTATGGGGAATATGTTGTCCCGAGCATCATAGATTCCAAAGGCCTGTCCTCAGGAGCACAACCTGCCTAGGAGAGTACTGGCTCCCGAGGAGCTCAGCTCCTGGCCCCATCATACTCCACAGCCATCCCAGACTACACAATGCCTTGCATAGCCTCCACCGCCACCTCTTGTGGCTCATTGCTGTCCAGGCTTCAGGTCACTTTCAAGGCCACTTCAGGGTGGGTTTCCTGGCATTGCTTTCCCACAGACTCAACGCCTCTTTCCTCCTTTGACTTCTGCCTCTCTCCCCTCTTCATTGTCCTCCGGCTTCTTGGTCTGCTCTTTCCCATCTTTGTTCACCACTGTTCCTCCACTTAACCTGGGAAGTTCCCAAGTATCCCACTCCCTCCTGGGCCCTCTCTCCCTCTTCTCACGTACACTGTCTCCTCAGCTGATCTTAGTCAGACTCCATGTCTTCAAATAACGGCTCTAAATCTGTCCCCCGATGGACTCAAACAGCATTACTTGCTGTTGTTAGCCTAACTCACACTAGGCTTTCCTTGATACCTCACCCCACTACACTTCATGCCCTTAGGACGTTCTGTAAGTTGCTGCCTGGCTCAGAGGCAAACATGATGTTGCTTGAAAGAGCCTCCAGTCAAGTCTGAGAATCAGACTTGAGAATCCCCAAAGCTAATTCCTGCTGTTTGGTGAGTCCAGGAGACATCCTGAAACTGGCCTAAGGCCTGACGAATCTTATTCATCTGTCTGCTTGCTCATGGTCAACAATCGCGTCCCGTGGTTATCCTGAAACCTGAGTTAATGTAACACATTTGCCTGTGACTCCCCCAAGGTGTGACTTCCAAAGTAAAACATGTCTCATCTCTGTGTATTTTGATTTCAAATGGTATTCTCTCAGGTGAGCCTGTGGGGAGGTCAGAGTCTCTGCTGGTGTCACCGTCTGTACATTTTTCTCTTTCTCTCTAACTTGGAGTTCGTGAATTGGCTCTGTCTGGGCTTTGCGTGAGTGTGATTCACAAAGCAGTTGTTCCTGACACCTCCCTAGCCACAGCCCAGTAACCAGCAGGCCCCGCCATCGCTGCTCTCCTGAGTCCAGTGATGAAGGTTGTGGTGCCGCAGCCCTGGACCCTTTCGACCTCTCTCTAGATATTTCAAGCTGGATACATGCAATAAGCATAGGTGTCATGTGTCTATTTGTGTTGTGTTTTTATTTCTATACCCAGCAGAGGGATTGCAGGATCACACGGTTGTTGTATTAGATTTGTTTAAGGAAGCACCACACTGATTTCTGTAGTGGTCGTATGAGTCTACAGCCCCACTAGCAGCGTCTGAGCTCTCTCCACACCCTCTCCAACATTTATTATTTTCTGTGGGGTTTTTTTCATTTTCATTTCACTAAGAGTATCTATGTGAGGGGGTAACTCATAGTTTTAATGTGTGTGTCTCTTCTTGCTAATGAATATGAAGATTTCTTCATGTGGTTGTTGGCTCTCTGGATGTCATCTTCAGGATATTGTCTGTGTTTGTCCAGTGCCCATTTTTGTTTAGGTGATTGGCATTTTTCTCTATAGATTTTTGAAATTAGTCCTTTATCCGATGTGTCACTACTAAACATTTTCCCCAATCTGTGGGTTCTCTCTGAACTCTTTTGATGAAGTGGTTTGATGTGCACAGATATGGTATTTTTAGAAAGTCCCAGTCCTTATTTTGTCTTCTATAGTGTGGATATAGCTCATTATGTTCAGTAGTGTACTTATGATTTACATGAGGGCCCTTAAGTTTGTCCCTATTTTTCTCATTGATGGTCTTTATGGCTCTAGGGTTTATAGCTAGGTCATTGATTCGGCTTGAGTTTGCTTTTACACATGGTGTGATGTTTGGGTCCTGTTTCATTCTTTTACAGGTGCAGATCCATTTTTCCAGCACCATTTATTGAAAAGAGTATATCTCTTCCACATTTATTGTGTTTTAGGCTTTTATCCAAAACCAGGTGTCTGTCGATACTTGGTTGTATTTCTGAGTTCTCAGTTCTAATCCATTGATCTTCATGTCTATTGCTGTATTAATTCCTGGGGCTATATAACAGATTTTAAAGTCTGACAGTGAAAGGCCTCCTACTTTGTTTTTGTTTTTAAATAGTGTTTTATTTCTCCTGGGTTTCTTTCCTTTCCATGTAATGGTGGTGATTGGTTTTTCCACCTCTTTGAAGAATTGTGCTGGGATTTGGATCAGAATTGCATTGAGTTTGAAAAGTGCTTTTGGTAATATTGACATTTTCACTATACTTAACCCAGCAATGTTTGGGTTTTTTATATATATGATTATATCATCTGCAAAGAAAGAGAGTTTTGTTTCTTCTGTGCCAATATGAATGCCCTTAATATCTTTTTCTTTTTGAGATGTCCATTGACATTTTTTGCCCAGCTCTTTTTGCCTCATTATTTCTTCCATTTGCTTTAGCTACCCTATGATCGAGAGCAGGTTTCAAAGTCTCTTTTGACAACTACTTTGAACTTTTCTTTCTTTCATGTCTTGCTGATGATCTTTTGTTTCTTCATGTAGGATGTTCTTGATGTCCTGGGGACAGAGTGTGAGGAGGGAGCCTGGTCTGACCCCCCACAGTGGGGCAAACCAAGAAGGGAACATAACAGACCATCAATGGGAACAACTCATGAAGCCCCTGAGATATACTGACAATAGACTTCAAACCCAGAGGGGCAGTGCCCGGAGCCCCGCTGGACTGCTGGGGAGATAGTCCCAAAGGTCAGCGGGCAGACCTAGAACTATCTATAGGGGTTTTGTTTTTGTTGGTTTGTGCTTAGTCTTCCTTGTTTTGTTTTGTCTATCTATAGAAGATAGGCATGAGAAGCAGACCCGAGGAGAAAGCAAGGGACCGATGGTTCCAGGGAGACTTGGGGAAGGAGCAAGCGGGGGAAAGGGAGTGGTGAACAAATAATGTCATGGACAGGGGAACAACTAGGGATCTAAAAACCAATGGCGAGGGGGGTGTAGAGTTCCTGGTGGTGTTGGAGTAGCTGTAATCAAGCAAAGAGGAATTACTGAGAAGCAAATGAGTGATAGTGGGGCAGGAGGCAGATAAAAGGAAATAGAGATAAGAACCAGGAAGCAAAACCATTTACAGAGGTATATAGATGTGTACATTTGTAAATATATTAATACATAAAAATAGGGGTACAGTGAACCCTCGCCACTTCGCGCTTCAACTTCCGCAGCTTCACTCTATCGTGGTTTTTGCATAACAGTGCATGCTCTGTCATTACTGCCACTGATTGACTCATACTGTACACGCTTGATGCCATAAATAATATAATAAATAATAAATGATAATTTTAACATCCAAAATGTTTTACTGTATTTACCCTTTTTCGTTTAATAAATTGGGTAATACGAGTGTAATGGTGACTAAAGGGTGTTTTTTCATGTCCTCTATGCTCTAACTACGAAAATATTTGATTTACAAATAAGGAATCCTACTTCACAGAATTTCATTTATCACGGTATGGTTTGGAACTGATTAACCACGATAAACGAGGGTTCACTGTATTGGACTACGTATATATAATTATACTGACCAGATCCAGGGAGGATGTTGATCACACCCTTGGGGATGCCAGCCTTCACAGACAGCTCTGCAAACTTCAGGGCTGTTAGTGGGGTCACCTGGGTAAAGAAAAAGGAAAAAGAAGGTTGAGTAAAGGGAGATAGATTTGGAAGTGGAGTGCTAACATCCCCCCCTGATCAATCGTCTTCGGCAGCTTTGTACCAAGCAGGGAGGATTGGCTATGGATTGTGAGACCAGGAGAATTCCAGAAAAGGCACATCCCACCAGACCCAACTCAGCCACCCTTTACAACACCTGCTGGGAGCTTGGGGCATGGGCCACCTGATCTATGGTGCCTTTCTTGCTTCTCTGTCCACCTACGACTCCAGGGCTGGACCAGGTTTAAGTCCCCATGGTCGTATTTTCATTATTTATTTATATTCATGATAAATTGTTTTATAAGCGGCTCCGTACATCAATTGTTGCCAAACACATGTGTATATATGTTGTCATCATCATTTTCAAAACATTGTCTTTCTACTTGAGCCCTTGGTACCCATGATAGTATGTATTTCTTTTTCATCTGCTCACCTCCATTTTGCCAGGAGCACAGATTCCAATCACACTACTTGAATAGGGCTCTTGGGGAAAAGATGAGGTCGTCTGCTCCCATACAGCCCGGCAGCTTCAGAAACCCTGTATGGAGTCACTCTAAGTCGGAATCAACCGGAGGGAAGAGGGTTGCTTCTTTTGTTTTTTTGCTTGTTCATTTGTAGGTTGCTCTCCAAATGCTGACTCCTCCCCTGTCAGAAAGTCAGCCAGCCTCTCCTCTGAGAAGTGCCAGCACTTGATGTGAGACGAGCTTCTAGGGGCGTGAGGGCTGCTTTAGCTGCACCTCTCGGGCCAAGGTAAGCATCACTTGCCCTGTATCTGGATGTGAGGCTTATTACTGATGACTCCCAGGCATCAAAAAAAGGGAAGGGGGTTCTCCTGCTATTCAAATCTCCCAACAATATTTTCCCTCTGGCTTCCATGTGCCCATGTACGCTTCATTGTAAAGAGTAAGCTGTGTTCCCCCACAAGGGCCTTCAGTTCTGGGTGTGCACAGGCCTGCCCTCAGCAGTGGGCATACCTAAGAGCCGTGTGCCCGTTGAGGTTACCATGGACAATAACCTTGGCTTGTCAGCGACACTCCCACAATAAGGAAGGAGATGAAAGGTCTCAGCATTAGGGTGGTGATGAAATAAGTCCCTATACATAACTAAGAACCTAATTTGTTCTTGGCCATTAAAAAGCCCGACTCCTGGTGAATAATGTGCCAGCTGTCATTGGGGTTTTATGATGTCTGTCCTCCTGGGCACACTTTTGACAGCCATGTGATGGGGAGGCTTCATAGCATTTTCCCTTTAATTCCTGGTAACAGCCCTGGGAGGAAGGCACGATGCCATCCAGTTTATTCCTGGTCAAGGTGACCCTATAGGACAGAGAAGAACTGCCTCTATGAGTCTCCAAGGCTATACATTTTTACAGGAGCAGAAAGTCTCATCTTTCTCTTGAGGAGCAGCTGGTGGGTTTGAACTGCCCACCTTGTGGTTAGCAGCCCATTGTGTAACCTGCTATGCCAAGGCAGGTAGAGATTATTTCTATTAGAACAGATGAAAACACTGAGGCTTACAAGGGGAGGAGTTAGAGGGATGACTTTCCTAGTGTCTGGAAAGCCAGGCCAGCCCCCTGAGTCCCTGTTTCTTCCCCTTCCCCCACAAACAATTTGATTCGGCTGAGTTCCTCTTTCTAAGGCCCCAATCAAATGACAAGTCAACGAGTACAGCTTCTCTGTGAGGGGCAGGGGTGGGTGGGCACACAAACCCTACCACTCACCCCATTTCCTTCTGGGACTTTGGTCTCTGAGGTCAAATAAGATAGGAACTGAAAATACAGGGAATCTAGGGCGGATGAGCCCTACAGGACCAGTGGTGTGAGTGGCGAAACAAGGAGGGTAAAGGGAGAATGGGTAGGAAAGAGGGAACCGATTACAAGGAACTATATGTGACCTCCTCCCTGGGGGACAGACAACCGAAAAGTGGGTGAAGGGAGACGTCGGACAGGGCAAGATATGACAAAACACCAATTTATAAACTATCAAGGGCTCATGAGGGAGGGGGGAGCGGAGAGGGAGGAGAAAAATGAGGACCTAATGTCGGGGGTTTAAGTGGAGAGAAAATGTTTTGAGAATGATGAGGGTAATGAATGTACAAATGCGCTTTACACAATTGATGTGTGTATGGATTGGGATAACAGTTGTACGAGCCCCTAATAAAATGTTTAAAAAAAAAAAAAGAGGTGACCGCATCAGCTTTATGAATAGGGTACTCCCTTCGGTCTTAAAGTATGTCACTGAGCAGGTGCGTCAGGCAGGGTGGGCTCTACTCTCAAATCAGGAGTGCTGAGGATCTACCTCTATTAACCCAAGCAGACGCAAAACATGGTTGGCTAACTTGTCTCAGTCTCATAGGTCCGAAAAAAACCCTGAGCCAGCATATGGATAGCGTTCATCGCTAGCCAGCGTCATGACTGGCCCTTGGGAGGGCCACTCTGTCTAGCAGTGCCCTGCACTCCTTGGGGAGAAACCAGTGTCAGGGTAGGCAGAGGGACCAGACGTCCGTTTGATTCTCCCCTTTCAGGGTGAGCTCCTGACATTCAGGACAGTCAGGGCGCTGTCCTGGTGGCCCGGACCTACCTGGGCCGGCTTGATCACCACGGTGTTCCCAGCAGCCAGGCAAGCAGCAGTCTTCCAGGAGAGCATCATCAGGGGGTAATTCCAGGGGATGACGATGCCACAGACCCTGTCACACAACAGACGTGGGCCTATGTGTCTCCACATGGCCTCGCTCCTCCTCCTCTCTCAGGGCAGACAACCCAACCTCAGCACCTACATCCCTTGAGAGAGAGGCCACTTTTCAGTCCCTGACATTTTTGTCTGACTTTGGGTGGCATCATATCCTAGTAGGGTCCCGTCGTTTATCATGGAACGAGTGGGCTCTCTGAGGGTAGGTCCTGACTTGGCAAATGCTGCAGCAGGCAAGACAGGGAACGATGCACGGTATGCTGGTATGAATGAGGGCCCAGAAGGGGGTGGGAGGTTAAAAGGAATGGTCAGGTAGACTTGACAGGGGTCCTCCGGGGGATGAGACCAGGTGTCACTCGTGTGGAAAAGAGAATGGACAGAGTTAGCTTGGAAGATGGGTCCCGTTGACTCTGCTTTGCAACGAGAGACATCCAGTCTGCCAGTACCACCTCCTGGTCCCAGAGGCAGCTTTGGGCTGGGCCATGTGGGTCTCCTACTCCTAACACTTTGGAGGAGAGAAAAGGGCTCCCCATGGTCTCAGGAACTGGAGAGTTGCAAGGGCTAAGCCTGTGCAGTTTGGATCCTGTATTTCCCTGGCCCTTCTAGAATGGGCTGATCCTAGTAGCTATCTGTATGACTGTCTGGACAGGTAAATGAGGTAACCCACGTGGGAGCTCATCACAAACCAGACCGTTGCCTTTGTCATGGTTCTCAGAGAACATTTCCCCCAAAGAGGACTTTTCACCTGGGACCGGGCAGTGGGAGGAGCACATGAAAAGGCCCACAGACCAAGAGGACCCCTTTGGGGCCTCACAGCCAGGGGAGAGAGATGAAGCCAGCAGGGGAAGTCGCCACCCAATCCTGTAGGCAGGAAGAACAGCCTCCCTTGAATGCAACAAGGAGCCACCAAGGGGCCTTAGAAAGCTGCCCTCACATACCCCTCGTGACCACCCAGGGGACCCTTAAGAAATAGGCCTGAGCACAGGCTGCCAAACATGAAGGCTTGATGTTCCCGGAGCTGTGGGATGATGAGGGATGGGTTTAGGGATTGGCTGAGAGAGAATGTTTCAGAGGAGTCCCTGGGGGCGGGGACTGAGTCTCCTGGATCTGCAGCGCATGGCCTGGCACAGGGTGCAGACCAAGGAGGGTGAGAGGTACAGGGACTGGCAGACTGATCATTGGCCAGGCTGCCGCGGGAGTCTCTGTTGTGGAGGAAACTGTGTTTACTGCCGTCTTAAAGATGGGGAATCTGAGAGATAGAGAGGCTATCCACTGACCCAAGGATGAGCTGGGACTCACACCCCTTTCCTAAAACAGGAGTGACCTCTACAGTGAGGAGGGGAGGCCCAGAGCTCCGCGATTTCCCTACTCTCAGTCTGCTCACCTCATAGTCACGAACTGCCCTGCACCCCGGTTTTTGGATAAGCACTACTCTGTGAGGTACTAGGAACAAGGGCAGAGGGGAGCAAGAGGCCAGGGCTCAGGATCTGCCTCACTCTTGACTACTGGCCATTTGCCCTCGACATGTCTACTCCTCCCTCATTCAGTTTGATGGCAGGAACGCTGCTATCGGGACCCGCCCTTCCAACTGGCTCTGACCAGACAGAACCTGCGCTAGATCGGAGGGATTCCGTTGTCCCGCCCAACCCCGCTCAAACATCTTGTGAAGCAGGCCTCTTAGGCATACCCCTCTGGAGCGGGGTCTCAAGGGTGGCGCTGCTGGCATCGGGGGCTAGACAAGCCTTTGTAGTTGGAGGTGGTCCTGTGAAAATCCCAAATGTCTCCCGATGTTGCCCAGTCCCAGCGGAGAACACTGTTAAAGGGCAGGCCCCTGGTGTCCAGCCTGGCTTCTCTGCTTTTCTTCACCCAAAGCCCACACTTCCTGCAGCAGGAACGTCCTGCGCCAGCGGGTCCTTCCATAAAGGTGTGGCTTGCTCATTGGAGCTGCTGTTTAATGATCCAGGTAATCCCTGCACACCTCCTCTGTATCAACCCCGGTGCTAAAGTGGGGGGTGGCTTCGATCGTGGTCCCCAGAGGTAACAGCTCGGAGCGGCTGCCCTCGTGCGCGGGCCTCTGCTCAGGCTTTCTCCTCCTTTCCCAGGAGTCACCCCCCACCCTTGCCAGACCCGTCCCCCTCCCACTCTGTTTGCCCATGCACATTCTGAAGATGAGCCACAGGACCTACAGGATTGTTGGGGCGATGCTCCAGAGCTCATCTCACTCGGGAAGGCCTCTCTGGGACATAGCACCCCCCAGATGACTCCTATGGAGAACTCTGTGGATAACAGGTGCCCCATGCCAGGCAAACGGGCGGTGGAGGTTCTTGGGCTTACTTCGTGTGCACACGTGCATGCCACCACGCAGCCTCTGCCCCGGGGAGCATTTGGAGACCCGATCCAACTGCATGTCCCCAGGAGTAGGACGTATGTTTCCCTCTGCTTTTGCAGCCGCTTAGTAGCAGCGATCTTTTCACCTGGGGCCCCTCTGATTGGAGAAATAGGGTCTTTCACGGTGGGTTTTAGGTTGCTTTCCCTAGTCCTGGTTCGATGGCTGCCCTTTCTTACGTGTATGGGACACTTGCTCTTGTGTTGGGTGCCCGATTGCCACCTTTGCTGTTTCTTTCTTTAAAATTTTTAATTCTTTTCTCCTTTGATATCTAGGAGCTGTTCATTTTCATGCACAATGGTCATGATACTCTTTTCAGATCAATTATGTTGGATGTGCGTACTAAGTCCCTGGAGCACCATGACCCTGATACAGGGTGGTGATGAGGATTCAATACAATTAGACTTTTAAATGACCTAGAACAGTATTGTGCCCTTTAGTAACGATAGCTACTTTCATCTGCTAGCAGGTAAGTTCCCTAGGGTAGACATTTTCATTAGCTTTGCACTCTATCTGAGCGCTACTTCTGAAGGGTCTGTCTGGTGAGTAAGGTAGAGAGGAGGCATGAGCATCCCCAGGGTTGGGTGGACGCCACTTGTGTTCTGGGAAGGGCTCGGTGAGCACCAGGTCCTGCCTACTGGTGGGACTCACCCAATAGGCTCCTTCTTGGTCAAAGTCAGGTTGTGGTTGGGCCGGGCCTGGTTGATGGGGATGGTAGAACCCTGGAAAGAGAAAAGCGGCATTGCTGGGCAGGTTTTACACACCTCCCCCTCTCGGTCCGGTTTGTGCCCTGTCTCTTGATACCCAGGTGGGAAGGAGACTCAAACCACCAAGCTTACATTTGGCAGCAGGAATTTGAGGAGTTTGGAGAGTATCCAACCCAAAGGGGCTTCCTTTTTGAGCCTGACAGACGGATCCCTCGGTCAGGAAGCAGAGCGAGTACGGAAAGGACTTTGAGATTTATATGGAGAAAGGGTATGGAAGTTGGAGGGTGGGAGGGACCCTAGCTGGCAGAGCTGCTGGTGAATCTGTCAACAGCTCTGAGGTCCAGGGCAGAGGTCCACTCTGCTGGAAGTGCCAGGGGTCCAGAGGCACAGCAGCAGATTGAGGAGCATGGGGAAGCAGCCTCTTTTTTCATGATGCCCCTGTCCCTCCCCAGCCCTGGGTGCAGGAAAAGAGGAGCCCCAGGCCCTGAATTTGCCAGAGACATGGGGAGCAATGTGGTGTAAGTCTCCCCGAGTACGAGTTTGTCCATCACTGCCCGTGCTAGGTAAAATCCCTCAGTTGGCCCTAGGAGTCCACAGCCTAACCTCTAGGATATGGGAAGATAGCACATCTCAAGAGGACACAGTGAGTAGGCTGAATAGCATTCTACATGTCTCCTTAAAAACAGCTCCCACCAATCAAACAACTTGATCGATGAGAAAGAGCAGGGTTGGAGTGGAGACCTAAAGCCCATCTGTAGCTAATTGGATATTCCCTCACAGAAGGTTTATAAGGAAGGGCTGATTCAACCAAGGTGTAGGATAGCACTGACGAGATGAGTCAAACATCATTCTTCTAGTTTCTGAATGCCTCCCCTCCCCACTACTACCATGACCCAGTCAATCCAGCTATACCAGAGAATACACATTGGTACAGATAAAGAGCTCTCAACACATGGAATTCAGGAAAGATTAACCTCTCAGGAACAGTAATGGGAGTAGAGATATCATGAGGGTAGGGGGATGGTCAGGGAGGGGAAAGGGTGAGAAAGGGGGAACCCATCACAAGATTGGATATGTGCCCCCCCCCACAGAAGAGGATGAATAACAGAAATGTGGGTGAAGGGAGACAATGGACAGTGTAAGATATGAAATAACAATAACAATACATAATTGATCAAGGGTACATGAGGGTGGGAGCGTGGGGGAGGGAGGCGGGAAAAGAGGAGCTTATACCAAAGGTTCAAGTAGAAAATGTTGTGGAAATGATGATGACAACATATGTACAAATATGCTTGATAACAATCGATGTATAGAATGTTATAGGAGCTGTAAGAGATCCCAATATAGCGATATAAAAAATAAAAGAAAACAGGAGCCCTCACAACTGGACCAATAATCAACAACATGATAAATGAAGAAAATACTGAAGTTGTTAAATATCTTATTTTTCTGGGATCCAAAATCAATACATGTGAAAGCAATAGTTGGGAAATTAAACTATGAATTGCATTGAAAACAAACAAATAGCTTTCCCTGTTTGGGGTGGTAGAAAAGGAATTCAGAAAGACTTGGAATCCAAGATCAATAAGTGGGGTGGGCGGGGTGCAGTGGGGGTATTACTTGCAAGGACAGGAGACAAAGATTCCAGCCAAGAACCATTAAGGAAATGGCTCCTCAGTCCTCTAAATCCCACCAAGCCTTGAATGGGGTGGGAAGCAAACTCTTCCCAAAGCCTCTACATCAGAGCCCACGGGCCAACACCTGGATTTTGTCCTTGTGAACCTCCCAAACCTGCTTGGGCTTTCCACCTGCAGAATGATGAGTTATTAAAGGGGTGCTGGGCTAAGCCCCTTTGCACTTTGCCAGAGAGTGGCATTCAATTCCTAGGAGCCCTATGGGACAGAGTCAAATGTCCCCTAGGGTTTCCACGGCAGCGTACTTCCACATCTGTCTCATGTGGAGCTGTTGACCAGGGTCCTGCTAGCTAGCAGAGGAAGGCTTACCCGTGGCTCCCCCAGAGCTCCCGGGACTCAGTCCCCGTGTGTGGTACTTTGTACAGAAGGAGTAGGAACCTCAAACACAGCCCTTTGGAGCTTCCCTTCCTGAGGGCCTAACCCTGCATGGCCTCCCTTGGGGTAGGAAGAAGCGGGACTCCACCTGGATCTTGTCACACCAGCCGGCAAAGTAGTGGAAGGTCTGGATGGACATGCCCACGTGGGTCTTCAGGGCCAGCGTGTAGACCGCACCTGCATCCAGAGCCTCGATGACGGCCAG